AATATATGTTCGTATGCATTTGGATATTATTTTTATTATTTATGTAAATTGGATTAAAGTTATTTAACAATACAAACTAGATAATTCCGAATGTTTAGATTAAACTAAGTTATGTAAATTTTGTCATAAAACAACGCTAGATAATATATTATTGAAAAACAACATGTAGTAAAACCATATTTTAGTGACCTACAGTTTTGAACAAATAAACTTAACTAAAACTTTTTCTCGGGTAAGACGACATGTAGTAAAAATATTATTGTTCAAATTCGAAAAATAAACTTATGTCTTCCAAATATTTTATGTAAACACAAAAACAAAACAAATCGATCAAATTTCTTAATGAAATNACATAATGTGGATATCTTATTGCTGATAGAGGAAAGAACGCGATGAATCGATGATTTTATTCATTTATCTATCCAATGCATTTTATGTAAATCTATGATTTAATTAATTTTGTGTTGAATGTAAAATTCCAGTTTACAATCTTAATCTATTAATCTATGCCTAGTCTTATTATATAAAAAAGGATGCGCGCGATGAGAGTTTGACACATAGACAAAATTGTAACTCACCGGATAGCGACATATGTCTACTATTAATGAGATGATGACACGTGTCAATTAACAAAAAAAAAGGAAAAGGGTTTCTTTAACACAAAAAAAAAGAGGAAAAACGTTTTAAAAAAAAAAAGTCATAACATAAAATACAAAATTTCCAAAACATCAAACAAAATCAATAAAAATACCAAAACATAAATCATTCAAAAATAGGAAAAATAAGTAATTAAAAGATAAGAAAGAAAGACAAATGGAAAATTGGAAAGAAAAAAAATTCGTTAACCAAAAAGTGACAAAACATAAAAAACAAAAAATTTCATTAATTTAAACAATAAATAAATGAGAAGGGAAAACATAAGTGATTCAAAAAAATTATTAATTTAGATTTTGACATGTGTCAATATTAACAAAATTTTAAAAATTAAAATAAAAAATATATTTTAAACAAGGATTATAGACTAATTAACAAAAAAAAAACCGTCATACTAAAATAGATAATATTTCTAAATTTTTACATTACAAAATACATTCTTTCCATTTCAAATTATTTAAATAGTTAAAGACCAAAAGGAGATGTCATATTATAAGTGTCATTTTGCTAATATAATAACGTGTATGTGAAAATTTTAGTATGAGA